GCCCTGACTTATAGAGCTTAGGAAGTGGAGAACTTCATTGTCGTGTCATGACTGATCAATTCACGGAAACTTCAATTGGTCGTTTATATATGTCCCTCCCTTCCGCTAGTGCCCTTTGAACGGCAGTCTGTGATACCTACTCGGACGTAGGGAACTCTGGCCAACTCTATGAGGTGTCTAAGAAAATTTGAGAGGCAAAATAGGTATAAAAGACTGTGACCCAGTACTATGATGATTTCGTGGCACTATGGATGGAATGCGACCTGTATTACAACTATACTTGGATTTCTTCAGCTGATCTCTCTCTCTTATAGAAGAATGTAAAAAAAGATCGCATGTTTTAATTCCTGACAGCCCTCAACAAAGACCTTAACAAAGTCTGGGTCGTATTCTTGGTCGAGATCCTTGCATTCCGCTTGCACTGCTTTCACCGAGATTAGCGTGAAGAAAGCCAGATACTTGTCATGATCGACACTTCCACTCCAATTGAATTGTCCACCTTGATCTCTAATAGTGTCAAGCCCTCTTGCAGTCACCTCGGGTAGGCCACCCTACTTGTGATAACTGACATAAAGTCAACCACACTCGTGACAAATGTTGAAAGTTTCAGGAAAAACTGACACACAAACCTTCAGCCAAAACTTCTACTGCAAAGGGTTTTACTACGACATCAAAGGGCTACCACAATTTAGCCGGCTTCTACCCGAAACATTCCATAATCCACCGCACTCTGAAAAGTCAGATACAGCAATTGGTCAAGCTACTTGGATTCAATCAATTCTTTGTTGTTCCATCAACCTCCTACATCCGTCAAGGTATTGTTCCTATAGCACTTGCATCTTTTACCTCCTCTAGTACGTGGATTATGATTCAGGTGCCACGGATGACATGCTAGATTCCCGGAAGCTTTCTCTAAACTACCCATGCAATGGGAAAGATACGGTCAAAATTGTCAACGACTTCTGTAGTTCCATTGCAGATAAATTATCTGTTGTTCTAACTACTATTCTAACCCTGGAATCTTTGTTACATGTTCCATTGTGGAAGCATAACATTTTATCTGTTGGCAAATTGGCATACGACATTGATTACGTTACTCATTTCTCTTATGATGTTTGTCTTTCAGGATCGTCGTTCAGGGAGGATGATTAGAACTGCTAAGCCTACTTCCAAGAGAAAAGCACACGACAAAAGAACAATCTACTCGGTAATTGTAGTTTGTCTCAAATCAATGAATGTTTCATCATGTTGTTGCATTATCGTTTAGGTCATATTAGTTTTTAGTATTTAAAACATTTGTACCTGTTGATGTTTACTAACAAAAGTTTTTCTAATTTCAATTGTGAGACGTGTTGATTAGTCAAACATCATCGAGTTCATTACCCAACCCAAACTTACACACCTTCCGCTCTTTTTTTCACTCATACAAAGTAATGTATAGGGTCCCTCTTGCACTTCCAAATGCACCGATAAACTGTGATTTCTTACTTTGATTGATGATCACACTCGAATGATATAGGTCTATATTCTAGAAGATAAATCGGAAGTTGTTATCACCTTCTAAAACTTCTACACTTTCATTTTAAATCAATTCAAAACTCTAATTCAGGTCCTTTGGACCCATATTTCAAGAATCGATAATGGTTGTGAGTTTTTTAACTCTGTTTTAGAAGAATTCTTGATAAGAAAGGGTGTCCTCCATCATAGCTTGTGTACAGATACTCCTCAACCAAATGGAATGGCTGAGAGAAAAATCGGCATCTCCTCGAAATTGCTCGCTCTATTATGTTGCAATCTAATGTCTCAAAATAGTTTTGGAATGATGTCATACTAATTGTCACTTATCTTATCAATAGAGTTCCCTCTAAAATTCATAACTTCTGAACCTCTTTAGTCGTTCTGACATCATACTTTCCTACCAATCGGGTCTTCATTACGTTAGATCCTAAAATATTTAGGTGCACAACCTTTGTTCGAAGCACTGCCCCACTCGTAGTAAACTTGATCCTAGAACTATAAAATGTGTCTTTATAGGGTACTCCGCCACTCAAAAGGGTATCTTTATCTAGATCCAATCACAAATAGAATTTATGTGAGTGTGAATTTCTCCTTTTTGAAAGTCTTTACTATTTTCCTAACCTTGCCTCAAAAGAAAGGGAGGTAGAGTTCTTGGACACAGTTCCTTATCCTACTCCTATGGATATCCCACCATTGTTCCTGTCACCGAGGAAAGCTCGATTGCAAAAGTTCCACCATCTCCTCCTTCCATTCTTCGTGTCTACACTCGGTGCACTTGTCCCAATACACCTATTATGGAGTGTGCTATCTCTTTGCAAGACCTTGAAGCTACCCGGGGCAACATCCCCAACACAACTACTGCAAATGAAGAGATGAGTTATCCAAGCAAGGTACATAGTCAGGCATGCTCTCTCTAGTTCATGGCAAAATATGTCTCTTTTCACAGTCTATCACTGACCTATAAGTTATTTTCTATTGCCCTGACAAATCATCAAATCCTAGCTACTATTGAGGCGGCACTAGCAGATACTGTCTGGAAGGCTACAGTGATGAAAGAGATGAATGTCCTTCGATGGAACCAAACGTGGGGCATCATACATATTCCTCGAGGAAAGAAAGTAGTAGAATGTCGATGGATTGTTAGCATTAAATTCGGCTCGGATGGGTCCTTTGAATGAAACAAAACACGATTGGTCACAAACCTACGAAGTTGACTATGAGGAGACATTTGCTCCGGTGGCTAAGTTAAACAGCATTTGGGTACTGTGTCTTTTGCAGTGAATCTGAATTGCTTCTTATTTTAGTTTGATGTGAAGAATGCATTCCTGAACGGAGATCTCACACAGAAGGTGTACATGTTCATTCCTCCAGCTTTGAATCTACTGCCTCCCAAGGGCAAGTGTGTTGGTTGCGAAAGTCCATATATGGATTAAAGCAATCCTCACGAGCCTAGTTTGGCATATTTAATGGTTAAATTGCTATCCTTATCGTTTATGTCGACGATATTGTGTTCACAGGTGATAATCTACCAGAATTGGAGTTTTTCAAAGACTTTTAGTAACAACCATTGAAATGAAGGACTTGGGATCTCTTTAGCACTTCCTCAGCATGGAAGTTGTTCGGTCATCTCAGGATATTTGTTTGCTTCAGCACAAATATGTACTTGACTTCTTCTATGCAAACAAGTGGCAATCCTGACAGATCCCAATGAAATTAGTTGATGTTCCCAATATTATTCCTGTGAACAAGACTCACTACCAATGTCTTGTGGGGAAACTTACGTACCTCGCCCACACACATCCCGATATATGTCACACAGTTGGTATTGTAAGTCAATTCATGCATGACCCTTATGAGCACCATCTCCAAGCTATCCACCGGATTCTCCATTAATTAAAAGGCACACCGGCATCAAGTTCGATTTTCTCGTGTCACGCCCCTCATTCTATTGTTGTTTACACCGACGCTGACTGAGCCACAGACGATCTACCTCCAGGTACCGCTCATTTATGTGAGGAAATCTCATCACATTGAAACGTAAAATAGTAATCGCTAGTTGCCCAGGGCAGTGCTAATGTTGAATTGTGGTCCGTGCCTGTGGGGATCTGTGAAGCTATTTGGTTACGCATCATGCTCCGTGCACTACATATGCCGACCCCAGTCCCTCTACAATTGTTCTGTGACAATAAGGCTGTCATCAGAATTGCTCCCAACCTGGTCTAGCATGATCGTACCAAACATGGAGAGATTGACAAACACTTCATTAAGGAAAAGCTCAAGTCCAGGAAAATTTGTATTCCTTTTGTGCCCTCTAATGGCCAGCTAGCGGATATACTATCTAAGAATATTTCTCGGCAACCGTTCGATGACTTCAAGTTCAAATAACTGACATTTATGTTTCAACTTGAGGGAGGGTAATAGAATTATGCAAAGATTTGTATTAAATGTAGGGATTTGTATTAATTCCTGCATTATTCTTTCCTATTTCTTTGTATTCTGTTTTTATTTCGTTTTCTATTTCTCTTTATTTTATTTTTATTACTTGTGAGTGTCCTTGTAATTGGGTATTTTTACCCCCCTTTCTATCAAAAAAAATTCAAGCGGCTCTATTCACAAACTCAACAATAAGAATAAATAACAAATTTACAAGTAGATCATAGATGTTTTACTTCCATTTGATAAGTATTAACATTGGAAACATCAAAAATTCTCTTCAGCACCATGGCATGCTTTCTTCCCATTGTTTATGACGAAAAAGCCATATACTGCATGTTTCAGCTTTCAATATTATAGATTCATATTGGTAGCTTCTTCCAAAAAATATATCATCACAATTTTTCAGTTTTGTAGGTCTTATATAAATCAAGTTTTATACATAAAAAGGCCTGCACTCATGAATTACTCCTGCAATACTCCAGTTGTTACAAATGATGAATAAGGACTTGCTGACATAACTATCAACAGTCAATTTTCCTCCAATCCGTAAGCTTGCAGTGAAGGCCAGATAAAAGCCTCAACAACATTACATCGACGAATTGTCAGCAGTAACACAGGCTGATGAGTTGGTTGGCAACAATATTTATCTATGATTTAAGCTGGGCTTAAGTTAATTCAAGCTAAACTTTTTGTGGATTTCTTAAATCATGAATTTCATAAATCAAAGATCTGTTATCTTTAGCTTAAATCCTGGATTGGATAAATCTTGCCACTAAATTAAAGGATCTCAAGGAGTAGGGTTTTAGGATCAAGTACGCCCTCCTACATGCCATCCAAACCATTTTCAAGGCCCAACTCTGATCAAGTTACTGACAACCACGAAGTTTTCAGAATTTTACACTACCGAGTTTTATCACCAAACCCGCAATACATAACTAACTAAATCCTACTAGAAACCAAACAGATTTGACCTGCATAAGAAACTTCACTTAACATTGAAAATAGTGTTGCAAAAAAAAAAAGGTTTAAGACGCCGTTTTTCTGACCTGCAGTTTATCCAAGTACTGTGGCTGCCCATGGCCCTTCTTGATAGTACCCGTGAGCTCCAGAAGACGATCTGCAAGCGTAGACTTTCCGTGGTCGACGTGTGCAATAATGGAGAAGTTACGAATCCTCTCCGGCGGGTATTGGCTCAAATCTATTGCTCCCTCTCTGTTCTTCTCTCGAGTTTGAGAACAAAAGGAACATTCTCCTCCAATGAAAGGTGAAAGAGTTCTGAATCTATACGGTTCGCATAACAGAGGTCGAGGCTTTGTCGTTGCAATCCTCCACGCTCGATACAGAGCTCTCATCGAAGTTTTCGCCGGGTGAACCGGACTAATTGCTTCACTAATTAGGGGTTGTTTTGTAGCAGAATTTGAGCAGGATTTAACATAAATTCTGCCAGACAGCAAAATGATAGCTTTAAATTCCACAGGATCTTAAATCCCTTTTCTTCGTCGTTTTTCCTTAAATCCAGGATATTGTAAATCCTGTTGGAAGGTGGATTTATGGAATTTAGGGGAGCTGAGGATCGCGAAGCGTAGTGGGATGAAGGAAGAGAAAGACGAGATTCAGCCGAGTAGGTGCGAATTGGAAAGGGGATATATACGGCAGTTTCGGAGATTTTTGTGCGCTTTGATCCCTACCTTGCCTTCCAGCTAACTCAAGTTGCGACTGTGCCGCGAGGGTTTCGGGCATGGGAAGAGGAAGTAGACGATGGCGGGGTGGGAATAGGGAGGTTGGTTATAATTTAGTGATTTTTACATATGATAAATAGTCTTATTTATTTTTAAAGGCTTCCAAAAATTACATTTACATGTAAAGGTCATTGTAATTACACTGTATTTCCTCATTAGCTCTTCCCCTTCTTATGGACTTGTATACAATGTTTCTATCTGCAATGCTTTGATTGATATGTATGCAAAATGCAGAAAAACTTACATTGCTTGTGTAGTTTTTGATGGGATGAAAGAAGGAGACACAGTAACATGGAATGTTATGATAGCTGCTTATAGAATCCATGGATTGGTGATGCCCCTTAAAATGTGCGCGTACATATATGTGTAATTACTTCAATTTCAAACTCCTGAGACTGTACCAAATACTTGATCTGACCCGCAATTACGCAGATATTTAATTTCATGGCAAAGAACTTGACCCAGTTTAATTATGGTGGCTAATATGCAAAACAAATATGCTGTAGAGTTTAGAGACTGCAACAAATACTTGATCTGACCCATAATTACGCATATATTTAATTCCATGACCAAAAACTTAACCCAATTTAATTATGGTGGCTAATATGCAAAACAAATATGTTGTAGAGTTTAGAATTTGCAACAAATACTTGATCTGACCCATAATTACGCATATATTTAATTCCATGACCAAAAACTTAACCCAATTTAATTATGGTGGCTAATATGCAAAACAAATATGTTGTAGAGTTTAGAATTTAATTTATAGATCACACACAATGGAGACTATGCAAGTATACATATCGTTTCAAGTAGTATAGAGTTTTCTTCTAAGATCAGAGTATCGATCCCACAAAAAACGATATAAGAATCTCTTAGGCTTATTCTAGTCTACTACTGTCAGTTCTTAGTTTGGAATGATGATTAAGGGTGTTTTCTATCAAGTACTCATAAATACAAACCTATATAAAAAAATAATACTAACTAGAGAAATTGGTTTGGAGAATTTTTAGTTGTTACAAACTATCTTTCACATGCGACGACCTACATAATGCGTAAGAATGAAATGTTTAGAATTTAATTTGGTCAGTAACAAATAGAAGCATACTTATTCCTTACCTCCCGAGTGCATAAAAAATATTGGTTAATCTAAAGTAAAGTTCCTAATTGATATGATTTTGCTGAGTAGATTCCAGCCTCTCACTTCTAGATTACTCACTGTGCCCTCTCTATAGGACTAACTAGGCCTTAGGTTCTAAGCTAAAGACCAAATTGGTTAAGAATCTATCTTGTCACCCTAAAAACACCAATTCTATACCCATCGAAACTTATTTCTCTATTTATTTGTACTCCCCCATGGAATTGGCTCCCCTCCATCCTAAGGGTTAGTGTGATATTCACAAGTTAGGTGAAATCATAGCTCTTTCGGGTCATTATGTTTCACAGCAAATTTTAACATTACAAATGGACAGTTTACAAGGTAAATTAAGAACTGGTGAATATCATCACATTAATATAATAAGAGAATTTTTAAGCAAATCTAAATTCCTAAACATGCATCCATTTCATTGCAAAAGAAAACTAAAATGAAAATGATGTCATAAGCAGTAAAAGAATTGATAGAATTATGTAATAATATATGTGCCAACAAAGAACATATGTCTACCTACCCTCTTCCGAATTTATATGTACGCTTAGTATTCTATTAGTTTTATACAACTAACTGTCACCTAGAAGCTCCTAATACAAACATATCATAAATTATATTTCCTTAAAATTTGCACTGCCACCTAAACTATTTCAACATAGCCAACCTGAGAATGTAAGTGCACTCAAGTTGCAAGATCACCGCTCTCCCGAGTCTTAGTTTCACATATAATAGGAACATAATATCTTGCCACTTAAGTTATGTCAATAAAGTGAAGGAGATATTCCTTATCACATAGAAATACAATTTATTCTATCTTAAAACAATTTTGTCTATTCTTGCCACTACTTTATATCAAAAGAAAAGAATAAAGAAACTACTCATGAAATATGGATTAAACAGAACAAAAAACTTCACTAAACTAAAGCAAATCCGCTAGAAAGTGTTTACAACAACTATAATATAATGAAGAACACAATACTTAGTTTTTTCCCTCTGAATGAAAGATAAAAATCTCTCCAACAAAGCCTCCCACCGATCTACGCAATGCTCGTACACTTCCTTACTCAAAATCCCTCAACAATCTCTCCAGAAAATGTATAAATCTACATTACTACTTCTATCTTAAACCTCTAGACGTTCTTGGAGTTTACAAGAGTTTGAAATGCCAAAATGTGCCTTATGAAATCCTTGGGGCATCAAGATTCGTCTACAACCATTTCTGGTGCACAGGAACCATTTTCTGGGTGAGACAAGCGCCTAGGCGCCACTTTCGGGAGCCTAGGCGCCACCCTGCTAGCAACACCTTGTTTTGCGCCTGCTTCACTTCATTTCTCCTTCTTTCAGCTCCAATCCGCTCCAAATGTTATACCTACAAGATAAACATGAAAATAACTTTTTTAAAGTGAACTTCATTCAAAAATATGTGATAAATATAAAAGAGATTAAACATAGAGAGACATCAAAATGAGTTAGATCAGAATTTTCTTCCTTGCTCGATTTGACTCCAAATTGCACAATTTTTTCTCTATTTTCTCAAAAACTTCATTTCTTGTACCTGGAACCAAAAACATACAAAATACCTTCCGTTAAAGTGTAATATCATTAAAAATGAGCAAAAAATGTATGTGAAAAAGAAGATAACTTTTAGGCATGTCAATACCCCCAAACTTAAGTGTTACTTGTCCTCAAGTAACACTATAACTTTAAAAACCAATATAACTTTAAATTAAAAACCAAATTTGTTAATTTGAGGTAGTGGGTTTTAGTAGAGTTTCCTATAACTTTGTCTCAGATATGTTATAGTGTAACTTAGGAGAAATTCTAGCAGATCAGCCTAGTACCAGGGTGTAAGAATATCTTTTATTCAACTTAGAAATCTCGATTTTCTATTTACTTCTAAAGTTATTGAAATTTATCAAACTAAAGATTCTTAAAAAGTTAAAAAGAAAAATTTAAGTACTCAATAATACCAATTTGACCAACACTTTTTGAAATAAGAATAAGCTTAAGATTGTTTTTGAGTCTTCTTCTTTAAAAAGAGTCAAGTGAAACCAATTTTTAATTAGGCTTCTCCCCAAGCTTCTCCTTTTTTTTTATTTCTTTTTTTACTTTCTCCTTTTATTTTATTTTATACTTTTTCTTTTTATTTTTCCTTTAGAATCTTTTTAATCCTTACTTTTTTTAAGTGAGGATTATTATATCTAGATAGACCTTTAATGATTTTGAATTTTTTTTAATAATTTTGAATTTAACTACCCTCTTCCTAAAGTTAATAACTCAAAACTTTCCCTCACTTCATAAATTTGTTTTAAAAACGGTTTCAATAAAGGCTCAACTCTCATAAAGTATAAATCTAAGGATCTTATTTTTTTCAAGTATTCAACAATATCTACCATAAATAGCAAAATTATTTTCCTATTGTTTCTTACAAAATATCTTAACTCTAGAACAATTTCTTCACATAAGATCCCAACTAAGTTTTTTTTAACATTCCTAAAATTAAAATTATAGTAACCTAATGGTAACATCACATACCACAAGTTATTTTAAAAGTTATATCAAATTAAATAAAGGATGCCGAGGACAAATAAAGTTAAGTTTTAAAAATATTTTTCTTCCCCCCAAACATGATTTTTAACATATATAGCATTCAATACAGAAAATAAAAGCGGGAATAAAATTAGTTCATAAATTCTTTCTATCACAAATTTCTATCAGAAACATCTACAAGTATTCATCAGGATAAACAATCTGTAACAGAAAGTAAATCTAAACTAAACATGCCAGAATGAAGATGAGCTAAAGAAAAGTCTACTAGCACAACATGTATCAACATATAAATATATATTTAAGTGTTCGTGAAGTCCTCTATATTTGTTGTAATACAAAAACAAACACATATGATAAATGAGGTTAACTCTTTCTTTAACTCATCGCATCTCACTACCATATTTCCAATTTTAAACGGAATTGCTACACTAATAAATTGGGTACTTTAAATGTTTTTATAGAGCATATCTCCATGGATACTGATCCACCTAAAAATTACTTATTTTTAGTGTACATTTCATGCTTATTTTATACATATTTTTTATGATATTGCACTTTATAAAGGAATGTATTTTGCATTTTTTAGTTTCAGGTACATGGAATGGACACTTAGAGAAAATGAGAACAAAATGGAGCAAAAATAGAAGATTTTGAATGTCACCATAGCACCACCCTTGCCG